GTAATGTTGCATTAAATCGTTGTCGTACTTAAACTCTAACTTGATGTTTATATACAAAAGTAAAAAAAAAAAGAATTGTTGATAACGGAAACAAAAAAAAAGAAAAAAAGGTTACCGGAAATTCAGTTCTGTTATCTTATCGCATAAAAAATTTTTTAATCAACCAAAAAAATTGTTGACTTAATTGGAAAATTTGCATTCAAAAAGTTTAGTTGTAAAAGAAATTGGATACTAAATTAGAAGAAAGAAAACCAAAAAGTAGTGATTGATTTATTTGCGAAAAAGCAGTGGTTGTTAGCAAATCTATGAAGATTTCATATTTGCTCACATCCGAAAGGTACAATGGAAAAGTAATGGTTAATGCTGCGCAAATTAGCGAAAAAATTTATGATGCTGCCGAATTTTTTTTTTTGCTTCCGTTATAAACCTAAAATCACCTTCCATCTATTATTTTTTCTCCATAGCCAAAGAAAGATAAATAACGACAGAAGAAAAGAGAAGCTTCAGCGGTAACTGTACTGTTGATAACGATGACGATAACTATTGCAATTTTTGAGCAGATATTAGCAAAAAAAAAACTTTTTTCTAACTGTTCATTTTTCTGTTCCTCATTTTCCGATTTTTTTTCTCTTTCTTTTTGATGATATTTGGTTCAAAAAAAATAGAAAAAAAAGAGCAAAACAGAACTGTTCCTTTGCTTTTTTTTACTTGTTGTTGATCTTCCTGCTCCTAAGTCACCAAACAACAAACAATTTCTGATTTCCAACTGTATATTCATCCTATCGGTTTATTTGGATTATTTTGTTTTGTTTTTGTTCTCTTTTTTTTTTTACATTTTTTCCTTTCAAAATAAAAGTTATATTAGACTTCTGTCGTAACAAAAACTATCTTTCTGTGTAATTACAGTTATACAGTGCCTTTGTACCTTTAGACGTCAAAGTTACGTTCAAAAAGGTCTCATACGGTTGTTTTACGTGTCTTTTTCCCACTCCTAACTTTTCACATGTTTTTTTTTTTATTTTTTATCATCTTTTTCTTTTTTTGCCTAATACTGTGATTCTACTTCTTTATAAATCTTAATGTGTCTGTTGTGATTGCTGAATGCATTTTATTACTTCCTTTTACATTTGTTTCAGTTATGTTAAACAGTGAATAATAAAGTGAAAAAAAAAAGTATAAAATATTTGGTATTCTATATGCTCCACGACGCTATTAACTCACTGGATTCTCTATGACCATGTCAGCTGAGTGCATTGTTGCTGTAGATGCCAGGAATACAAATTTATAACACTGTTATCTCCACACGTCTAATATCGACAACCAAGGAAACCTACTCAAATGCTCACACCCAACTATGAACTACCTCAAAAGTAGTGGTGTCTGACGACAAGAACCGCCGTGAAAACCTTGATATTGAAAAAAAGAGACTGCTTTTTAGAAGCGTACCACTTTTTGCTCGGTAAAAAAAAAAGACGCGAGAGGGATGAATAGAAGGAAATAAAACTATGCTCAAAATTGAAGGAATAAGCAGTTAAGTTTTACGAGTCACGGCAACCGGCTGCTTCCTGTCAAATTTGTTTCTCCTATAACGACATTTTTGTACTTCCAACAATACTGAGCTACGTACGTAAATCTGATTCATAACATACTATCCCTATTTTCACTACAAAAGAGAGCATACGTTAAAATCAAAATATAACTGTAACAAAAATAATATTCATGACAGAAAGCAAAAACTTGAATATCGGATATCCAGTGCTAAAAACGACCGTTTCTAAAAAATCCATTTACTGCGTCATATAAACCGTCATACTTCTGAAAATTAAAAAACGAAAGCAAGACCAGTGTTCACGTAGACCACTTAAATAAAAGCTACACAAGACTCATAAATCAAAAAACTTAAACTAATAAATCACACCAGATTTCTTTGAACAAATAGTGCAAAAATTAAATCCAATTCCCGAAGCATACTCTGAAACAGTTTTTTCATTAAATGCATTTAAGAAAGAAAAACCAATGAATAATCAAAGAAACATTAAAATTGTTATAATTATCAATAACATTTATTGCAAAATTTATGCAACTGCCCTGATTCGACCCCCAACCACCGTGCTCCTGGAAGAAATTCAGACTCTATTTTTTCATTTCTGGTTATAAACTGCAAAATTTGTTGCTACTGTGTTCAGATAGTTAGTGCTACAAGTGTGTGAATCAGAAAATAAAAGAAAAACTTATAAAAGGAAGTCAACAAAATCTTCCATAAACTGCTTATTTAGTTCAGTAAAGACAATCTGAACCATCAAAATTATGCGAGCTTGTAAACTCCCATTAAGCATCAGAACACTAAGAAAAACAAAAAAATATTCGAAAACTTCACTATTCGGTGCTAGCAGTAATGACTGTATTGCTGTCAATGATCACACGTTACAACTTCAACCTCACAAATAAATTTCTTCTAAAAGCTTTCTCCAGTGTGGAAAAAGACCTACTATTTCACATGATTTGAACTCATACCTACAAGTACTAACTAACGCTGTACAGCTTACCGACAGCTACAATCATATAACAAAGTTTCAAAAATCAGTTTGCAACTAAACTGTACCTAAATAAGCGATCGCTTTTACAAAAACTTTTAGCAAATGCCTCGCCGTCATCTGTTAAATCACTGAACGCAATACGATCCTTGGGTACAATGCAGTCCCTTCTCATATTGTGCCTAACACTTTCAAGAACCATTGAAGCTATTCCTTCACGTCGTAAAGTCTTGTGCACCCAAATACGGTTGACTCCCATAAACCAGCCATGAAAAACCTTTCTTTCACAAGGCCCAACCTGAATTTCAAAGAGAAAAAATATGATACAAAATAATCGAAAGGTAACATGTATGGTAAACTCTAAGTAGCAACCTAAATTGAAAATAAAGTTTTATTTACTTAGAAATACTTCAAAAAATACTGAAAATCAGTAGAAAAAACAACAAAAAAACTTCTTTAAAAAAAAGGCAACCTTCTTATCAAAAGAAAATACATGGTCTATCCCTTCAACCAATGCAACTGCACCAATGAAAGGAAATTTATATTTGGATGATGACGCAATGAAGCCCCAAAGTTGTCTCTTTCCATTCTTGTCCCAAACAGATGATATATCTGACGGAAATCCAAGTTCAACATTGACGCACTTCAAAACCACCTGTAAATTCTACAGCATCAGTTCTGACTTTCATTGTAAAATTGATTTATTTCAACAGTTTACTGATACAAAAAAGTACCTCCTCTAACCGTTGCTTCAGAACCGATTTTGTTGACGAATTAACTGAGAACAAGTACCCACCGTTTACCACGGTACAAAAATTTTTTCTGTAACAAACGGTGTACTTACTACAGTTCCATAAGTTTAACCAAATAAGCCTTTAGTTAGCGACGATCTGTAGTTTCTAACTGCATAAAAAATTTTAAAACTCCTAAAACTTGCCCATATTCATTAGCCTGTCTAAATACATAAAAAACTTTACCACTGGCTTCAAATTGGCAAAAGTTTTCTTCTTTAGTAACTAATTACATGAGAAGAAATACTAGAAGAAAATTCTTCATACAACACTTACTCACTTTCTCCACGAGTCGATTTCTGAATATTTCACTCTGAACCAATTACGCTTTAGTAAACGTTCATGGAAATCCGCATGAAGATTGCAGTCCGAAACTGAGTCACAGTCATAAACCATATTGCACTGAAAACCCATATGATTAAGCAAAAAACGCAAAGTCAAATGAATCCACTGCAAAAATACAGCAATTCCGTTAGTCAGTAACGCTTTTCTGCTACTTTTTCTGCCTGACATAGAGCAACAGTGTAAGACTTCGAAAATGAGCCTCTCTTCAAGGAACCCTATTAATCTTCTCCCTGCGTTAAGATTCATAAACCAAGATCACAAAGACAAAAAGTATCAACTAATAGAATAAGTGTGAAAATTATGTACAGATTGAGAAAAAATTATGCTTCCTCAAAGAAGTTTTTAGGCTAGGACGCAGAAGAAATGCACAAAAAGAACGTGAAAAACGTCCCGGAAGAAGGGCAAAAAAGGATCAGCTTACATAATCAAATTAAAAAAATAAGAAATTAAAAAATGAATGTGTTACCTGTTCGCAGAATTGAGTACCTATATTTTTTTGACCAGCATCCAAAGTGTACTGATTAAAATCGTCAGGTACATAGCTTCGTCGTTTTTTCACGTATGGCGATAAAGCGCTGGCATTTTCTTTGTGAGTATTTAAGTGAACATTAGTATTCAGCTGTCGCTTACTTTCTTTACTTAAAAAGTCAGTAATGGACTTCTGCATGGGTATAGGTAGTTCATGAAACCAGTTAACTGGTAAAATATATAGTATTCTACAAAGAAATTCACAATTATTCCTTCACTCTCGTCGAACATAAAGAACACCTTACTGCGGCAGTAAGGAAACGAAAGTATAAAAAAATTCATTTCTAATTTAATATAAAATTTTTCGAGGAATGAAATATCGAAAAATTTGAGCAGATCTGGACAATGCCACTGTCAGACGGAGACAGCTGTAGGTTATTCAAGACACCTCCCCTAAAGATGTGCTGAACTTTTGAGCCACTTTCGTTCGCTGCTTTTCACCTATCGCACTTTGTTTTTTATTATTTTATCTCTTTATGCTTACAATTTCTCGTTTTCATCCCTTTTTCCAGCCAAAATGTGAGAACAACTCCAATTTTTTCCATATACTTTTTAACAGTATAACTCTAATAACTTTGCCCAATGCCCATATATCGTAATTATTGTTTTTATTATTGCAGTCTACGTTTAAAGTAGTTTAAGGTGGTTTAAGGTGATGTAAAAAAAACTAATTGCGATCGAAAAGTTAGTCGAGGTAGAAGCGAATAAAATGGTAAAAGAAAAAAATACAGTCTTTTACTGGACAAGAAAACTACAAAAAATATTATTCAAGAAAGTAGCTAATGCCGAGCTAAAACAAGAAATAACGGGGAAAAACTAGAAATATATTGCCTAATTCTTTAAACCTTACTAACTGTTGCTCCTATCATTTTATGAGCCTTTATCTGACTAACTTGTCGACCATAATTGGTTTTTTTGAATCTTCTTAAACTTAATTAAACGTTGATTGCAGTAATCAAAGCAATAACTAGGGTATATGGGCGGTCAGCAAAGTTATTACAGTTATACTGTTAAAAAGTATATTAAAAAATTGAAGCTACTTCCGCATTTCGGCTAGAAAACAAAAGGAAAGCTAGAAATTGTAAATATAAGGAGGTAAAATAATAAAAAACAATGCGCAATAGGTAACAAGCTGTAAACACAAGTGACTTAAAAGTTTGGCATACCTTTAGGGAGGTGTCTTGGATAACCTCCAGGTAGATCCGTACGACAAAGTGACATTGTGCCAAAGCTGCCGGAATTTTTTGATAAGACAGGATATTTCGTTCCCGGAAAATCTCATGTCAATTCAGAAATGAATACACCTATATACGTAAATTTAGATCATCTTCATTAAATGATTACTCCGACGCTGTCATTTCTACCAGCGATTAAAAAGTAAGACTAACAAGCCGTTCACGATATACCGACTCCCATAAATTTCAAGACACATTAAGGAGGAAAAAGCAGAAATGTAGAATGAAGAAGGAACAAGTAATATGTTTAGGTAACAAACGCATCAATATCTTGAAACTTGACGAGACCAGTTAATTCAAGAAAACTTTGTTACGTCCAAAAGAATCGTTCTAAAGTTCCGTTTCGAAGAACCATTTAATAAGAAGATTCATAGAATGTGATACAAAAATTTAAGGTGACAGTTGTCGGATGCGTGCGGTGCCGCCGTCAACGACGAGTGACACTACAGACCTCCTTCATCGTACTTTTTAAGGATACTTCGTAGTGAAATGGGTAATTGGTGAAAAATGATGGAAAAAAATCCCCCTTTAAGCTTTACCCGTACTAATACTTTTGAGCATCCACCAACTGTGAAAGTTTACTTATTCGCCAACTGACTTTCAAATTACTAAACAACAATAATGTCTTTCCTTCGCTGAACCATACGAACGCTATATACTACAGTGGCTAAACTTCTCTTTATATATTATCGCTAAACAAACCACATGAGGAAATGCTTCAGAAGGACTTCGCATGCGAACGCCATTTAAACTGCGGAATTACTTCCCGCAAAAAAAAGTTTAAAAGACAGCGCTGTCGGCAATTTGCCAACTCTGTTGGCAAATTATCAAATATTATCCGACCAGTTGAAATTTTACTGCTGGTGGATAAATTGTATTTACAGTCGGCAGGTGCTACCAAACCACAAAAATGGACAAACCCTTTTGTTTTAACTAATATTTAATGCTGATGTTGCTTTATTTGTTTTACCTGAACTTATATACTGCTGGATCATGTTATTTTCTATAACTGGTTACTAGAACTGTTACTGATAATCTTGTATGGTTATATATATATTATTTTTTAAAACATTTTTTGTTTTTTGTTTTCTTTTTTTCTAAAGCAGCTTACAAGTGGGCTATTTTATGACGATAGCTTCGTTAGGGCCTCTCGTCTTCTGACATTATTTTAAATTTTATTTCAGTGTATTGGGGTTAACAGTTGGGAATCTTTAAAAGGCTTTTCTTCAAGGTGGAAGTCTCAACTTTTCGCTAGACATCCGACATGGAGGTTCAGCCGATGTTTTACGAAAAGGGGACAGTTGTAGAGACTGCCACAGGTAACAAAGTCAGCCGGCGTGGCACACATTTATTTGGAAGCACAAATATTGTATTAAGCGGTAAAGTATGTATTTGCTTGATTATTGCTGTTGTTGTTATTTACGGTTTATATACATAAATTAGTTGCAAGGCTTTTAATGAGTAGTAATTTTTTTTAATTTTCAAACTTTTATTTTAAGTCTATTATAATGGATGGTTGTATTTTACGAGGAGATCTAAATAGTGTGCGTATTGGAAAATATTGTGTTATTGGAGAAAGAAGTATAATTCGGCCTTCCTTTAAAGCATTTAGCAAGGGTCTTACTTATTTTCCGGTTCATATTGGCGACTATGTTTTTATTGAGAACGTGAGTCCTTCATTTCTGAACTTTTTGTCGTCATAAGTGGCACAAAACTTCTGTGCCTTACCGGTCATTAGACCATAGATTTGCTTATTTTGATAAACTGTTTTTTCTTTCTCATGCTTTTCATTAAGGGACATTACCGGCTAAAAATTTTCAGGATTGTGTTGTTATGGCTGCCCAAATTGGATCATTTGTGCACATTGGAAGCAACGCAATTATTGGTCGTAGCACTGTTTTAAAAGACTGCGTTCAAATTTTACCGGATGCTGTAATACCTCAGGATGCAGTGATACCACCGTTTTCTATAGTGGGTGGTAATCCAGGTTTGATACGTATATCAGTTTATTGACTTTGTTTATTCACTAAGAGTTTGTACCTTAGTGTATAAATACCCACCTCAACTTTCTTATTATAAACGATAACGATTATACTTATTTTATAGCATGAATTATTAGTTTTATTTGATGTATCTCATCTAAAATTATATTTGGAAAGGTGCTGATTCTATTTTTTGATTGTAGCAGTTATCGTCGGGGAACTGCCGCCGAGTACACAAGATCTCATGATGCAAGCGAACAAAAGTTTTTACGAGAACTTTGTGCCTTCTACTAAAAAAGCATAATATTATAAGAAACTTATGTATTTTCTGCTGCTTAAGGAGCTTTCATTGTACTACCAAAAGCCTGTTATGAATTTTCTGCTTGCAATGGTAACCGCGTGTAGGAAATCGGAACTTTACATCCTTTACTAGTAAGAAATCAGAATCCGCACGACAAAATTTGAAAACTTTAGAAGGTTTGAGCAGTGCTTTCTCATTCTCTTTGAAGAAGAGGGGCATAAAACATTCGTTGCTGCTGCATCGATATTTCCGATCTCTGCTTGTAGACACTTCGAAATACTATTGCAGAGCGCAACAGAATGGTACGGTTTGATGAAATCAGTTTAGCATTAGTTTCATTGTTTTCTTTCCTTTGCAGAAGGTTTTTGTGAACAGTGGAAGAAGTTGCTTTGCTTCAATATGAATAAGCTTCTCGGAACATCTTTGTGCATCCAGTAAATTCAGTTTCTATTGTGTATCTGGTCCTTCACGTGAAGATTGTAGTTCGTAGAATATCGCAGGTTTCTTTCCTTACACTTTTTCTACTGGAAGAGGGATTGTTGTATTGTTGTGCATAACTTAAGTCGTGAGCAAGGGTGTGTTGTTTTGAATTTATTTATTAATTTAAAATTGTTTTCTTTTGCTCAACTCATTTGAAGCTGGTAGTAAAAACTACTTGTTGGCTACTTCTCTTTTGTGAAACAAGGAAAAGTGTGGACGTTTGTCACTGTTTTCCTGTATTTCTTGTATAAATTGTCTGAACTGGAGAAGAAATAAGGTCTCGTTGTGGTCATTTAGAAGAATACGAGATGACATAATAAAATGTTATATAATTTTGTGTGAGGTTGTTGCCATATCTCGCAAAAAAAAGCAAATAACTTTAAGGTAAATAAAAATTTATTTGTTTCTGTCAGGAAACTGCATAAACTGTATTTTTTTCTGCTATAATGTAGTGTTCGATAGCTTACACACGATATGACATCGGGAACAAGCAGCCTCTTGCGGCGCTGAAGTGACTGCAAGTCACCAGCGGAATACAGAGAGTTCTTTTAGAAAGTGTCAAAAAAGTTTCTTTTTCGAGTTTCTGGCCTATTTCAGATTTCTAAGCTCACATTTGAAATTTTATTTCATCACTTTATATAATCTTCGCTAACATTCATCTAATACTTTTGTTTCTTTCAGGTTTTTATTAATTTTTCTGAGAACAAATATATAATGCATTCGAAAAAAAGTAAGAGTTTTACTAATAACTTAAAAAATTGTAGTCGTTAAAGTATGCTTACACAATCATTGGTCTAAAATGGCGATTTGTCGGACTTCCAACCAGTGAAGGCTGTGGTACTGCGTGTTTTGAAACTGTATAGGAGAAAAAAGTAGGGTGATGCTGAAATTTCAAATTCTCGGAAGTCACTGAATTATACAGTGAAGCTTCTAATTTAATATGTAGTTGCCCGTGACGAATTTTAAGTTTTCGAGCTTTGAAGACTTGAGAAATTTGGTGTTGTAGTGCTTGGTTATTAAATGTCAGTTAATGCTAAGTCATAGTGCGGGAAGTAAAAAAGAATTAAAACTTTATGCCACTCAGAATTGAGGCATCACAATATTAAGCTGGAGATGTTCTTAATTTAGATGAGTTTTTTTTCTGCTGAACTGTTAGTAAAGCTACTTAAATCAAGTTCGTGAACGCAATGAGGCAACTTAAAAAAGTCGTTTTCGTCACTGTGTTCATCTTTTATCGGCACATAAAGGAATCAAAAATTTTGCTACTATAACTTTATCAGAATTGCTCTTCGCGGTAATTTTATCGTTTTCTTAATTACGAGGAAGCTGAATAACGATTTATCAAATATCTGTAATGGTGAATTAAGAAGAGAGTCAGTGATGTATCACTTTTGAAACAGGTTTGATTAAAAGTAATACCTACATTTGACGGTGTCTCTGCACTAGAAGTTTTAGGTGACATGTATTGCTTGATTAATTCGGCGAGAAAGAATAAGCTACAATGGCACGATCCAGTCACACTAATGTAACTACTGACGCCTGCTTCTAGTAAGTTAGTTGTCTGACAGGTAAAGAAATCATGACGGTTCGAGTCTCATGTTGTTTTGTACTTCTTTTCAGCTGAAAGCTGTCAGTCAAAAAATGCCCAACTAATTTCACTCCATAGGATAAAGGATTTATATGATTTCTCATTCCAAATTCGGCTAATACGTTAATGCTTCAATGGTTTTGTTTCTGGACCTCAGACCGTGACGGTTTCAAATTTTGTATATCATCAGTTATCTTATCCACGTGAAACAGACTTCAATGTGTAAAGGATATTTTTAAGCACTGTGGTTGCAATCTGACATCCATCTTATTACCGCTACGGTTCAGACACTTTTGAGTAAAAGTTAGATAAACTTGTGTAGTCTAAGCGGTTTCATGTCATTTTTCTACTGGTGCACGACACCAGAATCTGCATGCAAAAGTCTTCGACCACGGCAGGACTCGAACCTACAATCTTCGGTTCCGAAGACCGACGCGTTATCCATTACGCTACGTGGCCTTGAGGACCGGCCCCAAGGCGAAGCTGTTCATAGGGTTGCGATGTTCTTCTCTATTGTCAATGTTCTTTCGGTGTCATTGTATTAATTGCGTTTTATGAACAACGTCTTTGTCTAACTAATGAAGTAAAACATATGCGTAGGAAAGCGAACAGAATTTTGCAAATTTTGTAACGATTTACTTTGGAGATAAGTTGCTTTGCAGTCATCGTTCACAGTTATTAATGCTTCTTTTTGCTCGTAGGGATTTCTGGCTCTAGCTAAAATTACAGGTTCGATCACAAACTTTGATGGATAGGTTTTAAATATTATTGTTTTCGGATACTTGTATATGAACTTCCGCAGTACCATTTTATTTATAGTAGGTGCCTTTCTTGCATCAATTGTTTTACGAAGCATTCTTCTCATTCCACTCCTGTTTTTATTTACAGTTGCTAATAATGTTGTTCGCAAATAAACCCAATTTTTGATCACCACCTGGCACCTTGAATAGCACCTCCACCATTTAGTAACTGCTTTCAAGAAGCAGCCAAGTGTGGCGAGATGGCCGAGTGGTCTAAGGCGCTGGTTTAAGGCACAAGTCTCTTCGGAGGCGTAGGATTCGAACCCACTCTCGTCAGGGCGGCGTTTTGCCGTTTCGAAGCTTGACGTAATAAGTGATGTTGGTTATGTATTGGCCTCTAGTGGTAGTAAATTTCGCCAGACCGAACATTAAGTGATCACCTACCAGAACTTTACATGAAAGGTCCAGCTGGTTAAGGAAACCGTGCCGTTGCCCTCTTTCTTGCTCTCCAACAAGTGCAAAAACCCTTACATGAATAAGGAGGTTAGTTGGGTGAAGGTAACCATCATAATACCAACAGTTAAGAGAACTGGTGGGAGTTTTAGGATATAACGCATGATTTTAAAAAGAGTTGTCCAGCCCTTTTAACTCAATGTCAACAGACTAAACTTGCTTTTCAGATGAATGAGGAACTGCACGAATATTTTTTCTGCCATACTTCCATATATTACAGGCAGGCTTTTAGGTTGAGTGGCATAGTTGTGAGTTCTAAAATGTGCGTCAGTTTAGCAATGAAAAATAAGAATTTTGTTACGTAGAAGAAGGTTGCTGAAGTCTCTCTTATCTTGTCGTTACATTAACTGCCTTTTTTATTTATATTTTGTGGCGGTTTGAATTCCTGCAGCGCCTAGTGACAAAATTTGCAGTTTTCGTGCACATACGACAAAGATTTGGAAGGGGAGTATCAAAATAATCGATAGTTGTTTACAGTTTTTTGATATTTCGCAGGATATGCAAATTTGCTTTTCTAAATTTTTTTGTTTAGCAGTGACATTGCACTTTGCGCTCTGAAATTCAAAGAAAGCGTAAAGTTTGTAATGACGTTGCTAGTAAGATGCTTCCACGAGTATTGCATAGGAAAAAATTTGTTTTTCCACCTTGCGTCGTTAAAATAGTCATGAAGAACATACAAAAATTTTGTCTTGACGTCGAAAGAAGGTGTATTTATAGATAACAGAACGTAAAATGGGTGGACTATGTTTACTGTTAAGGAGTTTTTCTAGTTTAATAGTTGTAGGTATAATAACTTTGAAGTATGTACTTTCTATGTTGCATCGAGAAAAAACATTGAACTATCATGTCTTTTATGAGCCTTGTGTGTTTCTCATATCTTTGAAATGCGTCATGAATGCTTTGCCTTAAGTGTTATTTGATGCAAAACCTTGCACAAAAAGCTTTCCTTGGAACAGGTTGAAACTGATCAAATTTATCTTTATCTTGTAGGGTTGACGTGGCGTAGTATTGCCTTGTTGCAAAATTACAGAAATTCTGGACTTCCGACAAGTGAAATTTACTGAAGAGAATTATATTGGAATTATATTGGACAATTACATTTTCAACGCAATGTGCTGATTTGCACAGTATCTTTAATTTTTAATAAAAGTAACCGGGATAAATAGGTGAATATAACCATAGTGTATGGAGAAAGTAATTCTTAAGTTTACTGATACAGTGGAAACTTAACAGATTTGAAACTTGAAAAGCACCGTTTTAAATAAAATTTGAGAAGTTTTTGCAGTTTATCAGCCTATAACCAGTTATTTGACGACAGCTACTGTGAGCAGTTTCAAGTCGACAGCATATAACAAAAGCGAGAAATATAAGTGGTATGCCTTTAATTTTAAATGCTAACCCTGTGCTTTAACACTGACCCAGTTTTGAAGTACATTTTCAATTTGGAATAATTCTAACGCTAGAAACTACTCAAAAACCTTTAATAAGCTGGCAGATAATGATCAGCTCTATACATTGCTTAACCAAGTATTCATCGCTGAACGGTAACAAAAATTGTATTCCTTTATCCATAATCATCTACTTAGACCATTTCTATTTTGCCCATGACACCACTCGAAAGAGATAATTGAGCCCGCAAATGATGAGTAGGAAACATGAGCACTTTTCCTTTTTTAGGCTTTCAAGCAACTAGGAGAGGATACTGGGAAAATGAAGTTCTCTCATACAAATATTTTTTCCACGTTTTGTCTGATCAACAGTTTGGCAAAAGATACTTTCACAGATCAGCTGCTTCCATATACTGTTAGAGACAGTTACGCCAGTGTCGTCTGAAAACTTCTCGTGTTAACTAAATAAGAAAAATATTGAGCACTGCTTTTCATTTCCTGAGACGTAAGAAAATTCTAATTTACAATGAAAATTAAGCTTAAGCTTAATATTTTAAGACTGAAATATTTAGCGCGTTAAGAGGCGACTATCACTGATTAGAAGGAAATTTCCCATGCGAATGAAAATTATCGTTTACAGGCAATCCTTGTTTTAGGATATTATTGCTAATTTTACCTTGGTAATTTTAAAAAAAATGAAAAAAAAAAAATTAATTTTTAAAAATTTGGTCGGTTTGGAAATTTGGCTTATATGCCTCACAATTATAGTCCAGTGCCTTCATAAATTCGGGAATGACGCGTTCTGTTCATATCAGCTCTGTTTATTCTTCGCGTTTACTTACTTTTTCGTTGAGCATCAGTTGCAAAACTTGGCTTTATAATATAAATCTTTCTAACTTTCCTGCTAAAGTGATTATCATAATAGTAATAATTTCTTTATCAAGCTTTTTTACTAGCCATTATATGTCAACAGAAATTTCATTTTCTTGAGATTTTAAATTAAACCGTGATTTGTGAAAATTTGTAAATCATTTTTTTTTTAAACGCTCCTGTAGTCGAAATTTGAGATAAACATTGTATTTCTTTGGTTGACAGCTTATTTGCGTCTAAACTTATTCTTATTTATTATCTTTACTTTGCGTATCGTGCACTAAGTAGGGAAGACACTTGTTATTCGACTTAACGTCTTTCTGCGCTGTTATTCCGTTGCGGACATTATCCCTGCACTCTGTAGTAAATGCCATTAAAGATGTGGAATGCGGCTAACAAAAAGTGCTCTCAGTCAACAATAACAATGGGAAAGCTAATTCTTATAATATTCGCTTTCTTTGTTACAAGTTCAACATTTACAGATTCATAACCTGGAGTTTTCAGCCAGAAACTATTGTTTAGAAATGATACTTTTTTACAACAAAATGGAGGCATCTGTTCCAAATCTGTCAGATTTTGAGGCTTTTTCTGACCTATTTGATTGAATTATTACGCAAAAAAAAGATTTTTAAGTGACCAGCAAAGTCTTTTCAGGAAGTGTGGATTTTGGCATTTATGTGCTCGCCTGAAAGCCGGTACGTTTGCGAATAAATCTTTCTATACCTGCCAATGAGATGAAAAACTAATTATCTCTTCTATTTTAACTACTTGCGGGATTATTTTTTTCAATTTCAACTTTATGAGTATTAAAGCTATCAAATTTTTAAACTTTTTTAATTTAAGGACGATTAGCAAACGTGATGTTTGAATACGCTTTATCATTAGGAACAGTAGGGAGAAAAATGCGTGTGTTGTAATACCGTCTGGTTTATTCTTTCTTAATGCATTTATGAATCCTCATTTTTATTGGTTGATGCACGTAGAAGTTTTATAAAGTATGAGGAAATAAGTGTCAATTAGATATTTTCCCGCAAAAAAATACAATTCTAAAACTTTTTCACAAACATCTTATTAAAGCTTAAACTAAATTTTTATTGATTCAGATTTTTTTGTACTTAAATGGAACTTTTTCAGTAATCCTCTGCGTACAACGCAGAAAAATTATTTATTGAATCTATAGCGACATTTCAAGTTGGTTGACGGTTATATGCAGTATGCAGTCGTCTCAGCATAATTTTTAGCTCATAATTCTTTAATGATTTGTGCGTTTCAATAAGAAAAGCTATTTCTCGGTAAGGCGAATTATGTTCTGTAGATATTTTTACCTCTTTCGTAAAAATAGTTTTTATTTCCAGAAATCTTTGGTCAAAAGGGAGTTCACTGTATTGCCTCATATCAGAAGGAGAGCCGAAGAAAGACTGAAAAATATTTCATTGCGATATCCGAGACTTTTCAATTGAATTACTTGAATTACAAACCAAGTACTAAGCAGTATAATTGCTTTTATAAGAACATATCAGCTGCTTAATCAGCTGTCTATAGCACCCGTGTTTCAAGTACCATCTGCTAACTAACAATCCGGCTTTTTTGAGGTTTTACTGGGTACTGAAGTAAGTTTGTTCAGGAATTATGGAGCCAGATAAGTTGCCGGAGGCGTAACTCCACTCACTTTACTGTCAAGTTGAAGAAGAGAACTACAAAATGTCAATTTTTTGTCAGCTGATGACAAGTAACAGAGCTCTTCCGGTTTGGTGGCTTCATTCTTTTTCAACTAATGTATACTGTCCGTGATAAAGGTGTCTCTGTTTAGCGGCAACCGGTAGAAGCGATGGAGGCCATTAAACTCAAACAGAGCTCTGATGGGTTTCTTTTGTTATTTGTTCACTGGTTTTCTCTTTAGCAGTGGTAAGAGAAGTTTTAACAGCAATTGGCTACGTAAGAAATGCAAGAATGTACAAAGTGTCAATTCATTTAATATTCAAAAATTTTAAAGGCTTAACTTCTCGTTTAATGAAACTTTTTTCTCTTGCAGTTGTTAGTAATATAACCAGTATAACACTCTCGTATCCACAATTTCAACCTCTCCTACTTTTTGTATCTCCAATTTCTCAAAACAGGTTTATACTTGTAGTGAGTTTCCACTCATCAAACCTACAGAGTTATTTGAAGGGTTGACAGACTTAGAGAAGTAAACAATTAGATTTTTCCTGGCTCACTAAGCTTTATTATCGTACGTCACTATTTTTCACATTACTACTTCTTTGCAAGCACAATAAAAAGGCTAAAAATTTATAAGAATTTAGGTGGAAGAAATGTTGGCTTGTTTAACTTGCCTGCAAAATCAAAAATTTTTTAAAGATGAAGCAGCTTCTAGAAAAAAAAAATAAAGCTTCTAATTTTCACCATAACAATACGAAAAGAGGCTGATTTTCATGTTTCTAAAACTTTGAAAGTTTAATGCTTGCAGTTTTACTTGATGTTACTTAGTAGACAATTAATCATAGGAACAAACTTATTTTTTGTAGGAATTTCAATATTCAAAACAATGAAACTTTGTAAGTACGAGTATGTAATGAAATTGCTTTCTACTGTTGTATGAAATTAGTAGTTGTAGAGCAAAAAGTGCAAAAAGAGCGGAAAGCACTATACAAAAATACTTGAAATTTGGAAGAAAAATTTTTACACATCTCAATTCTTTAATGTGATGAATAAAGATGCATTCACTTTCTACGAAATAGTTGATCAATTTTGAGGACAGTTCCTGTCTAATTAAGTCATAAATAATATAGTAGGTCGTTTGCTGATCGGCATTACACTATTTTAAGTTGCTACCGCCTCTTTTCTGCTAGGAAGTGATAAAAAGCAGTTCACATGGCTCTACTATAATAACATTGAATGTTTCACTGGACTGTAATTTTATGCTCGTTTGTGTTGCCATTTTGGCAGATTTACTACTGTTAAATTACGGCACATGTAGTTGTTTACAGACTTTTTTTGTTCATTTTTTGTTCATCTTCGCTCAACAAACCTCAGTCGCTGAAATTTGAAAACAGGCAAATTTTGAACGTTTTCTCAATGGATACTTATTGTGATGTAATCTCAGGTAGTTGACCTCAAAAAAAAGTACCACATTGCATTTAAAAGAAATTTATTTTTCAAGTTTTTATTGTGAAGCATTGGTATTCACCATCTTCAACACCATAACCTCGATAACTTTTAATCTACTCAGATACGGTTGAGATTGCAAGGAAAATGAAACATTTTATAGAAAGGTCGCATTAATACAGTACTTTATTTTCAGTTGCAGAAGTAAACTTTTCTAAACGTCTACAATGTTGAATTAATGAACAAAATTACAGCAGAAAGCATCCTAAATTCTTTTTTTACAGATTTTTTGGTTTTCCTGAATTCTTGCTCTCAGACATTGAATGATAGAAAGGTTTTGGCACACCTCTCAAACCCCAAATGGTATGGAGTCGAAAAAATTGCAAGCAGAAGAAATACGCTAAAGTGTCGCATAAGAAAACATTTTGGTACACGTTTGAGATCTGCTTTAATCTGCAGGCACACTTTGCACGCTAAAGACCAAGTCAACTGTTGAGGAAGGCACAAAAACGTGCTGATCGACAGCCGTTTTGATTTATGCGATTTCAGAAACAGTACTAGGCTACAGATGCTCAGTAATGCTTTATTGTTAAAGTACTCTACGATTCGCATTTTTCCTCGAAGCTTCCTGGTTGCCTGTTGCCTCACTGAACGGTGACGACATAAAAGTACTTGCATTGTTTGCTGTCACTGGTACAAACAGATGTTCTTCTTTTTTCGTGCCTGCTTTTTTTGAATTATAACCTTCTTAGTTTGTAATAATACCAAAACGCGTATGTAATTGATTAAGATCGGTACAAGGGTAAAGACCTTTGAGAAAAACAATGTTTTATTTGTTGACAAGCGGCACGTGTTTACCTTATTCAACCAATCTCTTAGGCAATTTTCATACAACTGCCAATTCTTTTCTTTACATTGAACTATTTAACGATTTCTATTTTAATGGCACCTCCTCAAAGCTACAATAGATCTCTTAGGTCTTTTTTCAAAATTTTTATTTCACATTTTTCTTCAAAAATTCTTACTTTTTTAACTAAAGAAGGTAAAGACTGTTTTTGATTATTAGCATTTGAAGAGAAAAATATCTATATTTACCGTTGTAAACTTTTATCAGTTCTTGCGTTAATTTCATATTTCGCTTAAATCTTTTAGATAAATAATGCTTGATAATAAATGGTATTTAGTGCAAAATTACGTACAAAGACGCCTCTTCACCACTACAGTATCCAGGAAAGTAATTTTCAGATTTTTCGATGCAGAACAGACTTAGAAGCTGGAATGCGTAGCTCACTGCTTAAAAAAAATCTGTGAATTTTTTGTTAATTTCTGTCACCTGATAGCTAGGTAGCTGAAGACAGTCGCTGAGAGTTGCTTTTAGTTGACAACTTACAATATAAGTTGGAAAGTTAAGACTTAATCTCATAAAGCTCACAGACACCCTCTTTTGCTTTAAAACTGATGCAATATAAAGGTAACAGTGAATTTAGCATTAAGCTATTACCAAATAAAAATTTGAAGGCATTATACATTTGAGTAAGATTTTCATTATTTGTTAGCAGTAAACCATTCGGTGTTACTTGTTGTTTTCTACCTTGATTACTTTTATTTCGCAGTTTACTTTTATTTCGCAAACAGGGTATGTTTTGTTTCTGGCTGCTTGTAATAATGTGATACTAGGTGATTAACTCTAGATGGCGACTGCCGCAATGCGTTGGAGTAGAAACTGCTTTTTGAATATTCGGCTTGCAGCTCTATTATTTGTTTCCTCCAGCGCTGTAATTCTAATTAAAGTTTGTCTAATCGGATACAACCAGGATTGCCAGACACATAAAACTTTTTTAAAAAAAGTCGCGTTTGAAAACGCTTTTGTTAATCCAGTTGTAACTGGTAAGTTTCTTCAAACGTTTATCAAAAGCTGAAACATATTTTAACAATAACAAGAAAATTTTTAAAAAATTCTGATTATAAGTTTATAATCTAATTACAGCATTTTTGCGGTTCGAATGTCCAGATAATTTGGTTATCTCTACAATATTGACGCTTCTTCAAACTGATGACAGATATCTGCTAATAAATTACACAGGTAATTGTTTTCTGAATCTACCTTTGCTTTACAATTGTAGTTAATGTTTGTTTTTCAAAAAAATATAAGTTTTTTTCAAAGATCTAAATTACAGGAAGGTTAGGAAACTTGATGTTTGAATATGCTACTGCAGTTGGACTAGCTGAAAAAGCTAATTTACAAGTGCTGCTACCATCTGATTCTCCCCTGTTGAAAGTGTTCAACCTGAGTGCCACAATTATAAGCTCAGAAGTCTACGAATTTCTGATATCCGCAAATGTTCGTTTTGCTATACACGAACATGTGAGTTAAAAATACGTGCGCTGCTGTTTTTTTCAAATGAATTGCAAGTTTTACTAAGCAGTATATTTTGCCATTATCAGCCTTAACAGTAAAATGTTCAAAAATTTAACTATGGTTTTTGCAGAGGTCAGTGGCATTCGATCAAAGCATTGTAAAGCAGCTGATCTCGAATTCGCAGCAACGATTTTTTATACTTTTTGGTTATTTTCAGTCATTCCGATACTTTATTGACGATGTAAGATCTTTAATATTTATCAGTTATTCACAATTTCTTTTCTGCTTTAGATGATCAGACGAAAAACAAAAATGTTGCTGTTGCCGTTCTCTTCTTTTATGAAATTTTTTTAGGAACTTTTGATCAAAGAAGAGTTCACTTTTTGGCCCAACATTACGAAAGTCGCAACAGCAAAATTAAGAAACATTTCACTACGTTACTCAAACAATCTTCCAAAAAGTATTACTTAAATAAGCCCCTATTTCTTTCTCTCTCTCTCGCTCTTTCTCTCTCTCTCTCTCTCTCTCTATATATATATATATATATATATATATATATATATCAGATTATTCTTCACAGCCCACCTACTATTTTTTTATTTTTCGCATTTATCGTTTTAAAAACAGCGTTTGTTGGGGTACATAACAGGCGAGGCGATATGGCTTATGAAAAACGCGTTATCCAATTCGGGTTTACAGTAGCGAACAAGCGGTATTTCGAGGACAGTTTTGACTACTTTCGGTAGCTTTGCAGTCTATAGTTTATCAGTTGATATAGTTTACCAATTTGTCAATTCAGATTTAAAAATCAAAACTTTTTAGGTCAAGATTTGAAAATCCAATTTTTATAGTAGCAAGCGATGATATTAAATGGACAACGGCGGTACTTCAGCAGCTCAGTGAAAGTAATCCCTGAAAAGTTGCTTGCGCGCTAAGTGAATGCTTGAAAGTTGATATCTTGAAAAACGACAACGATCTCATAATGAAAAAATTCTTTTTTTTATTGGCAAAGAGAAGTTTTAGTAGTTGATTATTTTATAAATTTATATTTTTTTTGTTCAACTAGCCTTTTTTAAAAGTTGTTAGCTAGCTTTATGACATCAGATCTATAAATATAGTAACTAACTACTACTATTAGTTTACGAAGTAAGATTTCAGATGACACATACTTTTTGAAGGATTCTACAGCCGAAGTTGACATGGCAACGTTAGCGTTGTGCAACCATACCATCGCAACCGTTGGGTCATTTTCGTGGTGGACTGCGTACTTGACAGACGGACAAACTGTATATTACAAAGAGTGGCCTAAAAGGTTTTCTAGTCTAGAAAAACTTGTAGAACATAAAGACTACTTTCTTCCTTTTTGGACTGGAATGAAATAAGTGAGAAAAGATGACGTTCTTTGTTTCTTCTGGAAACAAATTTATTTTTCACTTTTTGCTCTGAAATTCTTGTGTCACCCCCTGCAAGCTTTTTCTACACAAAAAGTGTTGTGGTGAAGTCAAAATTGAGAGCAGACAGTCATCTAGAAACTGGTTAGTGCTTAAAATGTCTAAGCAGTTTGGTTATCACAACAACATAAAAGAGTAATAATCAGATTCCCACTTTTAAAAATTTATCAAAAATGCAAATTTTATATAAGTTTTTCAAAAAGCTTGTATTTGACGTTTTAAAAATGGGCGTATGACATGTTTCAAAGAGCACTTTTTTGGCTTTTTTTAAGTTTTTTTGCTACTCAATTTCTGGGTAACATGTAAAAAATGGTTCGACGTGTCCCATTATATCTTACATTTTTGTTACTTACTTAATTCTTAAACAGACCAAAATTGAATGCTTCTCTCCAGTTTATTGATTAAATGTTTTGACTTTAAACATTCATCTTATTTACTTCTGCATTTTCAGCTCTATTTTATGTCATACTTTTTCAAAATCTTTAATTCATTTTCCTAGACCGATCCTGTAAATTATTTTTAAAAAAATTTTCTGTTTTATACTTCAGTTACAAGCAATTCTAAACAGAACTAGAAACGTTGCGTGTTTTCTGTTTCTCCGAAAATGATCTAAAAATTTAATTAAAGTTTGTTTTTCAATGCTATTTATAAAAAGATTGATTACCAAGAGGAACCAGTTTACATAAAATTAATTGGCCGTGTCATTCGCAATGTTTGAGAAAATTTGTTGCTAAAAACATCGATGAAAAAATAGCATATAATACAGATTTATTGTTGGTTAAGAGACAGTTTAGAATCCCACAAAAAATATTTGTATATTAATGACGTGTAAATTCTAGCTTTAAGTTAATAGCATTGGATTGTCACTGTGTTTCCGGCAATAAAGATTTCATTATCTTCGCTATAAATTGTAAAAGAAAGTGAACAGTTAAAATTAAGACGAATATTATTTTGAAATTAGCCAGCAGGTTTTATTTGTACATATGCACAACGCTTCTGAGCTCACATGCTCCTACTGTCATTAAAAGTTTGAACAAATACAGGTTAAATGCGAGAATCAAGTTGCTACTTGGTTTCACTTTTTTTTTTTTTTTGCACTGTATAAACAAAAGTCATCAAGAATTATCCCGACCTAATTTTAATATTTCTTAGAAAATTCAGGCTAAGGGAAGTGTAAGGAAATTCTTAAGTCACTTAAAAAGCTAGTTTGTTATCTAAGACGTAGATCCAACTTTCGTTTTTGCTGTTTGGTATTTCTCAGATATGCAGTGCAGTCTGTATTTGAAAAGACAGATGTTGCCAAGGTGTGATGCGGTAATAAGCGAAAAATTCAAATTGCAATTCCTAAGAGTTTACTACTAATGGTACGTCGCAATAAGACGTTAAATCAAGAGAATAAAGTAAGCTAAATCAGAGCAGCATAAACTTCAGATATCTACAAACAAAAGTAAATTCTCCATTGATTATAACTTGAAAAAGCATAGTACAAAGGCTTATTCTCTAAATACCCTTTAACACCAAACAAACTTTTTGCTGCTCTTAAATTTCACGTAGAAATCAGCGAATATATGCAACTCTGTGGAACTTAAGCTTTAAAAATCTCACCTCAAACATTTTCGCTGTCTGAGGTTGACGAAATTTTAATGTTATGATTAAAAGTGACACTTCAGATAATAGTTCGATAATGCTCTCGAGCATTCAAGTGAAATACAGTCATTTTCTTAAAAGAAAACTGAAAAACATTTTTTGCCTTCTTGAACCATTTCACAAACCTTCTAAGATGTGTAAAGTGACCTAAAAAATAAACAATTTTTTACTTTCTTTGTTGGTGATAGCAATGAGATGGAACTGACTATAAAAATGCTTAAACAACATCAAAAACTGTTCTGCAGATGACATTTCAAGTACACCTGACTAAAACGAAAAAATTTAAAGGTACTAAAACTAAAATGTAAGTAAAAATCTAAGTTTAGTTGATTTGCTCATGACAGCACAATACATCACAGTGACTAGCATCTGGTTTACTTCGACCCAGTTTTTACCACAGACTGTCATTCGTTTGAAAGTTATGTAATGTTCTTAAAGTTAGTTTTGGTGAATAAAGCAGGATAATTCTTCTGATATCCTATTTCACAGAGAGGGAGAGTGGTGATGTGCACTATTTCTCCTATCCTACAAGGAGAGATGATATGGCTATCTGGAAACTATGCAACCATGCTACTTTATCTCCTGAAACTTTATCCTGGTGTGTTAATTATTTATTTAGAGCAGAAACTGTGTACTACAAAACCTGACCACAGAAAAACACTTCTATGGAAAACATTTTGAAAAATTTTGTGTTTCTTGTGTGGCGATTGCTGTAAAAAAAGTAAGATTTTTCACTTAGCAAGTTAACTGCTCTTGAGAACGGTGTTGAGATGCAATACAACGGTGAACACTAAAACAAACCAAGCAGTGGTTCATCCAAATTATATAACAGAAACTTGAATGGCTAAGAAACCTAGCCGACCTAATAAAGTCAGGCAAAATATAAAAAAGAGGTCAGTGCCATGCAGAAGACATACCAAATCAACCCCGATCAACAAAAAAATGTTTTTTTCCAAAATAAATCCGATTGCAGATTAAATTACAAAAGTAAAAAATTTTAAACGTCCTAACGCATTAGGCAAAAAATTATAAACAAAAGACTGCTTTGCACAATCTTTAAACTTGCCTTCGCAAGAACCGGTGATAAAGGTTACTGTGAACCCGTTTTTAACCTAATCTGAATTGTAACACAGCGCATCCGTTGTTAAGTTCATCTATCCTTTCGCGTCGTGGCTTCCGGACATGTAATCACAAATCCAACCTTCTCTTTCTCCTACACATTGCGGAACTTTCCTTCAAGGTACTTCTACCATGAGATTAACGCTATAAGAGCAGCTTAAGAGAATCCAGTCAAATTCATATCTATCTTTACAATTATGACAATGAACGAAGTTTATACGGAGAATTATATAGCCGTAACAACAGCACAAGACAAATGGGTATCACAATCGTACACGATTGAATACACACTGGCGGAGACCGATTGATTGGCACTTTTTTCCTCCGAACCTTGAAACCACCAAGCTTATATGCTACCTTCCACTTTCGTGTCTCCCGTCTAAATCGCCTCTTAGTGTCAACTGTCTAATCATGGTCCACCTGCCGACGGAACTTACGTGCCAATCGCTGTTTACCAAATACCTCCGCCGGATTCCGATCAGCGCCCTTTGGTCGCTTCACGCGACAAAATGTGCTCATTTTAAACTTTACCGTTTTCTCCACCTTTCTACCAAGTTCTTTTAAAAGGGCCTCTATATTTGTGGCTTACAGCTTACGAAATTTTATAATCTGCCTTGCGTTTTCGTCTGACTTCCTTCTTTGCATCCAGCCCATCAACGATTTGATCTATACGTCCTTTGATCTATTTGATCTATAAGTAATTTGTTTCTGGTAACAGTATTCGCTCAGCTGAGATATTGCCTGCTCCCACTTCTAGCATCTTTCAGTAGCTTCTACAGTGGGGTCTCCAAAGACAGTTGATTTCTGGTGACCATTGTTCAGCGTCATGTGTATTAGGACCCACAAGTAGAATTTTTCTTACTTTCATAGAAAGTCGCTCGTATTACTTTTTATTGAATTGACAATTTAAAAAAGTTTCTCGTATTATTTTTTATTGAATTGACAATTTAAAAAAGTTTTTCCGGTTTTACAAGAAAACAAAGTACCCCGAAAAATTTTTCATATACGTAGCATGCTGCGAAGTTCTCCCTTTGAAGCAGAGCTTTCACAATCGCAGTGACTTCTATGGCACTAATCTATCGCATAATCTGAATCAACATCTTTCATACTTCACAACTTTTTTTTTCACTCTAATTTCAACAAGTTTCTCCTCCAAAAACTGAAGTCTTGCACTTTCCAGATCTTTTCTTTCCGTTATTCTTTCAGGAAAAATTAATTTTCTCGTCATTTATGTACACCCTCAAAGATTCTGTATCATTTTGAGGACGGCTACCTGTTTTTCAACCGCCTCTTTTTTGTCAGCTAACTGCTTGGGTTTTTTGAAGTTTGGCTCAGCCATACGAGGACGATGATTAGAATCTCATTTGCTATAAATTGTTATTTCTAGCAGCAGAAAAAGATTGACTAGTGGCGTGAGTGTCTACTGATTTGCGTGGACTATTCTCGTTTTTCTAATTTTGCCGCTTAGTGATCAATTCAGTTCCCTCACAAAAGCAGATTTCTACAGGGCTTATGACTCGTTTTTGCTGTAAAACAAACCGAATTTTTTCGTGTAAAGGCTCACTTCTCTATTTGAGCTTTGGCGCATCCTTTGTGTACGCTACCTGTAATAAGAATGTAACCGCAAGTTTAGAAAACGATATGCATTTTTAAGACCTCTCTTTCTGTTCAAGAGAAACTTTTCCAGAGGTAGACAATGAAACCGTTGGTTTTTCGTACGCACTGCCTTGTGAGCCGCAGCAAAGATTCATTTTTGAATTTAAAAATCAAGTGGGCTGATGACAGTCACTAAGCTATTGCCTGGTGAGGTGCTCGCTGATGACTTTTTCGACTTCATAGAGAAGTGAAAATCATTTTTATTTTGAAGCGGTTCATTAGTTGATCTTCTCAGCATAACTTTAGTCTCCTCTGAAGAGGCGCTTGTGATTTTTTTTTTAAGGTGTTTTATGAGCTATAAACTTCCAACAAATTCTTTAAGATTTTGAAAACCTTTTGAAGTGGTTTATTAGCGAGTTTTAGTTTTGCTGCGTTGTTGGTGTCAACAGTTTTTCATTTGTGTCTTCATGCCACAAACCTGCGATAGGAATGAAAAGGCGTCAGCGAAAGCTCTTCTACATGAACTGCCTTAATTATAAATCTGAAGAGGGAATTTTTTCTGGAGGGGAAGGAACAAATCCGTTCTCCACGCAAGCCGTGATAAAAGCGATACTGCCATTCTCGCAAATGACCACACTCGAAGAGATACGTCGACTGTCAACCTTGACTGCAGACTATGAAGTCTCCCTGTGGTGCTGGAACTCTGTATTATGCAGTGGGAAATTTACAAATAGCATTGGGACATCAGGGGTGGATATAACTTTTGGTAACGTTAAGAAGGCAGAGAAACTAGCTGGTAAAGACAGCCAACTCAAGAGATTACTGATCTATGCTGATGGGTTTATGGTTGTCTCAAAATAAGATGCTCGTGAGAGGCGAAAGGTAGTAAACCCACCTCATTTTTTCACAACTTTTCGCCCAATCGGCTGTTATACGACCAAAGTGG